TATAAATCTAATTCCGGTTACTTAACGTTTTTACTAACCTTTTAACCGAGTACCGTACTTTTAGGGCTTACGTATAACGGTATTACCGTAAAAGAACTAAAAAGGAAAAATCTTCTTTTGTTTCCTGTGATTGAGAAGCTAGGAAGTAAGAGTGTTGTGCAGAGAGAAAGTTGAGCTTCTTGGTCTAATAAAAAACCAGAGAGAACAAAAGAACAGTAAGAGTTATTTAAAAAGAAAAGAAAAAAATAATAATCATAAATTTAATGATACACCAATATATTTCAGAAATACGATATCTATTTTTTGACCTATTTCTCTTCTCTTCTCTATTTGTGTTATTGCAACTTCAACATATTGCTGCTATATATACCATGCATAGAATGTTATTCTACTGCAATTATTTATTTAATAATTAGAATGCAAAAGTTAGGGAGAGAGAACCTCATGAATCTAAAAGGTAGTGTGAGAGAGACCTGAAAGGAAGAGAGACATACATTAATTCTTTCATGTGAAATTACTTTCACAATGTGATTTCAAAAACATACAGAGAGGAATACAAAATGCAGGCATAGAGAGACCGAGAGAGTACCTCCAAAACCTAAAAGGATAGAGATAGAGTACCTCCAAAACCTAAAAGGAAAGAGATAGAGAAAGAGGAATCCTATTGGATTGGGAAAGCTTTCTATGTTCTCCCTACAACATAGAACTTCATCATGATTGATGACTTGTATTATTATGAAAAAATAGATATACAAGATGGAGTCAAAAGGACGATTCCGGAGTACTATAAATGGGATTTGATATAGAACAAAGAGGCATAAGGAATAGAGCTATTGTAATATTATTATCTATTGCCAGTAAATAAGTTATCTCGTGGACGTAGACACATTGCTGAACCACCTATATCTTTGTATTGTGGTTAGTTGTTTTTTTTTTGTGTTTGTTTATTATTTATTGTTTTTGTGGATTGCCTTTTTGTTTCTATACTATCATCCCCTTTATCCAACGGTTCATTTTTTAATGGAGGGTTAAGATTGCCCCAATCACAATGTCACGTCTCTATACTATTTTATTTTTAATTTTTATTTTTATAAATTGTTTTGTCACCAAACACCAAATTTTAGACGTCCATTCCTCTATTAAACTCGCACTAACGAAAAATATAAAAAAATTATTTTAAATAAAATAAAATAACCAAAATACCTCTGAAAGTTTAAAGGGGTATTTTGGTTATTATTTTTTATTGAACAATTATTGTTAATATTTTTTATTGGTACACCCCAATGAGAAGATGACACGTACAAAATTTCATATCCAAAAAAATTGTATTAAAAAAACTAAAAATAAAATACGTTTAGACGTCAGATCTAAGATCAAACCATAGTGACTCTCTCGATAAAAAATAGACGGTTGGATAGTAGGGGAAGATAGAGCTTCCATGTTGTAGGGGGACATACAAAACTTTCTCATGGACCGTCTCTAATAACTCTACTTATTTAGAGAGAGAGTAAGAGAGGGAGAATCGAGATAAGTTTAGAGAGAGGTAATCCTTGGATTTTTTTTAAGGATTACTTAGATCCAGACCTAAAAATATGATGTGGGATTCGGATTCGGACGAGACCGATCAAACTCGATTGGACCCGAGCCAAAAAAATAAAATATCTATGTATTTAAATATATTTTAATAAATTAAAATATGTGGGAACAAACCTGACTTAACCCAAACCTAAACTCAAATCGCATTCCAAATCCAAAATTTGCACCCAAACCTGACTCACAGGGTCCAATTTTGGACTAATACCTATATCCAGGTTGGGCCTAGCCGGCGGTCCTGGGCCCATTGCCACCTTCGTCTCTCTGTCCCTAAACTTAGCACCTAGCCACCGATCATTTTAATTGCGAAGCACCTCTCTCTCTAAACTTAGCTCGCGAAGTAAAAATCTCTCTTTTGATCTTGAACTAATCATCGACCATTGCGAAGCGTCTTCTCTCTAACTTAGCACCAAAACACCAAGCTCCTGCCATGGCCTCTTACGAACGAGAGATCTCAGCTGCCGTAGCTCGCCTTGCCCTAGCAGGCGATGGCGCTCTGCTAGGCTTCACTCTTGCCATTTTTGCCCTCCAAACTTGGTCCAAATTTCGATCTAGCTCCTCTGCCCTAACCAAAATTCGACAAGCCAGAGCCTTCCGAATCTCTGATCTACGGTCCCTCTTCTCTGAAAGCGATGAAAACCAGGCTGAAGGCGGAAAATTGGTTGTGGTTAGAGGGCAAGTTCAGGCAAAATCCACAGTTGATGGAAATTCGAAGGTTCCTCTATTTTCTCAGGATTCAGGGGAAAAGGCGGTCGTAATTTTGAGTACACAGACTGTAAGATTACTTTGCCTTTGTTGTCTTTAATCTTTATCAATTATTCATAGAAAATATGCAGGATCAATTATGTGTTTGTTTAATTTTTTGTTCCCTTAGTTTCTGAGCATGGAGAGTGTAATATTTGCTATCTCTTTGGTTTGTTTTTCTGTTATTATTGGGTTTTCATCTAAGATAACTTTGAGCTCTCGAGAGAAGTTTAGGAGCTTAGAGTGATCGTTATGTAGTGTTTTAGTTTGTTTCTCTCTCTGGATTTCTGTCTACCAATGTTTGTTTTCTTTATTTCTCTTATGTGATCTCTTTCTACAGATTTTTATAGGAACAACCAAATGTGCTAACCAATTTAGAAACCTCTCTCTCTCTCTCTCTCTCTCTGTTTTCATATGAATGCATTATATGATGCAAATGTTGGCCTTTGGGTCTTCTAAAGCCAATTTTTATTGGATTTCTGTTAACTACCTGCGGTATACCAAGAACATTAACTGCTGCGAAAAACTGGTATCACTATTCAACTGCGGCGTGAACTGCACTATCTCCTTGACTGCTGCAAAAATGAAAACATCGTTGCAACTTGCAAATTACAGAGAAGACTGGAACACAAAGCTTGCACTAGTCTGTAAGAGTAAACACGCAAGCTCAAAGCTCAAACTTTCTAAAACAAAGAGAAGTTTCCCCAAATGGAGGTCTGGCAATGGGCCAGGCGGCCCAAGGGCGGGGGTAGGGCCAGGCCACCACGGCACGAGGAGGCCTTGGCCAGGAACACAAATAAGGCCTGTAGTTCGAGGAAGTTTTTTTGAACTTCAAGTCTAGTTAAAAACATAATCACAACCACCGCATTTGAAATCTGACTAAAGAGAGTGATTGTCACCTCTTTGTATTAGTAAATAGTCTCCTTGTATACTTTTCCATATACACACATCTATATAATTTTGTTTTGAATTTTGAGTTTAGTCAATGACACCCTTACAACCACCTGATTTGAAATTTGATGGGGAAATAGTGTTTGTAAACTCCTTGTACAAAAAGTAAATGGTCTCTTTGTATATTAGCATCGTCGTTAGAGCCTTTTCCAACTCGTTGGGGTTGGCTACACTAATCGTGGTCCACCATTCTGCTTTATTAAGGGCTACATCCTCAATGAGGCCACAAGTCCCCATATCTTTTCTCACGAATTCTAACTATGTTATTTTGGGCTTACCCCTTGCATTTTTTGAGCGTTCTACTTGAACTAATTCGCACCTCCTAATAGGTACTATATTGGGTCGGCGTAGCACATGGCTAGTCCACTTAAGTCTACTTTCACTCATCCTATCGCCTATTGGTGCTAGTGTGCCACACCTAAATTCTCCTAAATATATTCATTTCGAATTCTATCATTTCATCGTCATCTCAACTACACTCATTCTATGGGTAAGTTGTTTCTTGAATGCCCAATATTCAGCCCCATAAAGCATAGCTGGTATCATAGCTGTCCTATACAATTTCTCCTTCAGCTTCATTAGTTTGTAGTGATCACATAAAACTCCGGTGCATATCTCCACTTCACCTACCCAACTCTAATTCTATGTGCAACATCTTCTTCTATCTTTCCATTTTCCTAAATTATCGACCTAAGATATAAAAAATGCTCTTGTTTTGGTATTTCATGGCCGTCAATCTTAACTACTTCCTCATCTCTACTCCTATTATTACTAAACTTGCATTCCATATACTTTGTCTTAGTCCGGTTAATTTTAAAACCTTTAGATTCTAGAGCATCCTACTAAAGTTCTAACTTTGTATTGATGCCATTCTGGGTCTCATCGATCAAAACTATGTCATCTGCGAACAACCTGCACCACGGTACCTCATCTTGTAGGTGCCTAGTTAAATTGTCCATAACTAAAACAAAGAGATATGGGCTCAATGCTGACCCCTGATATAGACCTATTGTCACTGAAAACTCACTCGTCTCTCAACTAGTTATTCATATACTAGTTAGCGCTCCCTCGTAGATATCTCTCACCAAGTCGAAGTAGTGTCTGGAGACTCCTTTCTTTTCCAACACCCACCAAATGGTCTCTCTCTCTCTCTCTCTCTCTCTCTATATATATATATATATATATATATAGTA